CACCAATACTCACTTAACAGATAGACAGTAGAATCTTCTTTAGTTTTGATTTAAATCAAGTGGCCTACACATTTGTTAAATATACATATTTTTTATTGTTCAACACTTTACTGATATTTTGTTGTACTTTCTTTCATATTTAGAGACCTAAAGTTCTTGTGCAATTTTATGTGAAATTAGCCCCATGTACACTATTTTAGAACAAGACTGCTGCTGAAAAAACGCTAACAACTACTGGAGATGGTGACTTCTCCAGAGAGGAACCCAGCACTTCTAAGTTTGTGACTATGTCCAACCCAGAGTACATAGTCTTCACAGACAGTGAACTTGAGCAAGCTCGACATTCTTACTTTGAAAAGAAGCGGCTGGGGACAGAGTGTGCTGAACCTTTGTCAAAGGAACTCTTTTGTCGACTCGTAAGAAACACCATGACAAACATGATTTCGATAGCAAGAGCAGCTGACGACTCCAGATACCCCAGCAAACATGAGGTTGATGCCATGGCAAAGCGATTAATGGAGTACTACCCAATGCTTAAAGAAACGTGTGGTGAGTGGGTAAGTAGCATTTGCTCAATATCACTCTGTGTTAATCATGAGTGATGTATCTTATCATCTTTTAATTTTTACCGTTTGTACCTGTTTGGAGCATGTTGATAAAAAGCTAATGAAGAGACTCTCCAATGTCAAATGTCCAAGGAAAGACAAAAAACCTCCTGCGAAGAAGCCAAGAAAGGATGGGAATGAAAGCGTTGCAAAAAGTGACAGCAGTGGGGAGTCCAGTGCATCAACTATTATTCTAGATAAATCACCAGTTAGATCGATGGGCACCCCAGTGCACCACCAGGATGGCAGTGATGAAGAATGTAAGTATAATATGATGCACCCTCTTATTACAGCCTGAGTGTAAATGTGGTTTGGACGATACTTTTTGTTTTTTTGTTAAAAATTCTGCTAACAATGGAACACAATTACTTCACTGTTTATCTTGGAGTCTTTGTGTTCCATTTAATAGTGACAACTTCACAGGATTAATGAACAATTTTAAGATAGGTGGTTAGTTAATTTGTTGATCTAATTTACAGATATATTTTGGTATTTTTGTTTTATTGTTTTGCACCAATAACATATATATAAAGCCTTACTGTGGCAATAAATGATTTGCACACCTCTGCTCTGTGTGTTTAGCTGGTTCAGCTGACTTCTTTGACAGCCAAAAGACCCAGGCAAGACACTACAATACACTTCAAGAAATATACAAGCCCAAAAAACCAAACAAAGCTGCTGTTACCCAACTGCTGAACCTGGAGTTTGAGTCTAGAAGACAATTCATTAACTCTGATGCTATAAAGGAGCAGGACAGAGCAGTGAAGATACTAGAGGCATATCCTTGTTTCAGAGAACTGGATCATGTAAGCCGCACTTATTTCTTTTAGCCATCCTGTTATTCCTTTGGGGACATTTTGATATGATTTTCAAATTTCTTAAATACTGGCCCTCATGTTTAAATTGTTATCACTTATTGTCAAGACCAGATACAGAGCTAGACAGATCTATCTCAGTTGGGTTTCTGTCTGTATTTTTCAGGTCCTTGATGAGCTGCGGAGAATTATTCAACCATCCAACTTGAAATACATTTCTGAGATGAAGGATAGATGGGAAATCTTCTACTCGAAGGTGCAGTTTTATGGTGTCATGAAGAAAGTTATGAAGCCGCCAAAAACTTTGGATGGAGGTAATGCTACAGTATCTTGATTTGTCTACATTTATGCTTTGCAGATTACATTATTTGCAATGCTTAATGGTGTTGCCCTGTCTTATTTTTCTTTTTTCAAACCAGTGGAACATGCAGCAGCTGTGTTCAGAGCCCTTCCCGTGCTTTTCCCTTCCAGCACAGTACCACCTAAGAAGCTGGGCATCTGTAGTGAGGCTTTTTTCCATGTCCTAAAGGTAAGGCTGGAATATTCTATGTGTATATATTGTTGAATTTTGCAGTTACTCATGTTTTCATTTTATATATTTTACTGTGGAGTCAGTCAAATATTCTTAAAGTTCAGATCCCCATAACATGTTGATGTTAGTAAAACCTACAAAAAAAGTTGATCTATTTTAAACTCTAATGCAACGCAAAAATTGTGTTTCTTACGGTCTTGTTCTAATCCTCTTTTTTTCTGTCATGTAGACTTCAGAAGACCCTGAAGGTTACCTGCGTCAGCGACCCCTGGCTTGTCCAGTTCTGCTTGTCTCTGAAGGCAACTGCATGATAGCTGTTGGAACCACACCGGTGAGCACTTTTGACCGGAAGGATCTTAATGAGGGACTGCTCTATCTGATGGCATATTACTATGCCCTCCACCTCACATATCCAAAGTGCATTTCCACGCTGCTGTCTGTCTTGCAAACTGAAATACTCAAAGACTCCATCCATGACCGAGATTCAACCCCTTCTTACAAGAAGGCGCTTGGTGAGTGGAAGTCATTCATTGAGTGAGTCTCTCAGATGACAGACTCCATCTGCCTTGTTTATCAGACTCAGTGTTAGTCAGTGAGGTTGTTTTTTTTTTCTTTAGAAAAGTTGTTCAAATGTAAAACACATGTTTGTTTGTGTGGTCGTTAAACTTGTTCTTCTAAAATGTTATGTAATATACGATTTGAAATAGTGATTGTTTTAAGCTTCAGCAAAATTTATTTTTGATACCAGCCATGAGTGTGTTATACTGTTATTATTCATGTTAAGAGTATCTGGAATATGCACTTCTTATATTGGCCATGTTACACAGTACCCTGTTGAAATGTATAATTTTAGACATGATTCTCCTGGAACAGACCTCAGTGAGTTACTGACCCATTGCTGTGTCAATAAAAGCGCAAAAACTAAGAGTGCTTTTGCTGTGTTAATTTAAGATGAATTCCCTTATTTTTAGTAGCTTTTTGAAGAGATGGTGTCTTATTCTCAGGAATTTTTGCTGATTATTGTTCTCAGAGTCGAAACATAATTCTTATAGTTAGCTCAATCAAGAAAGAAACAATTCAGTTTTAAGAAAATTTGTCCTATAGTAAGGTGTTTTTTTTATGTGAAAAATCTAAATTAAGGTGTAGAATCTTAAAGTAAGCAAATAATTCTTGAAAACAGCTTGTTCAAGAAAGCATAATACTCATTTTAGGTACATATTTTCTAAATATCAAAGTGTCTTTTACTTATAATAAGTCACATTTTCTTCAAATAAGCATACATTTTAGACAATTTTGTCTAGTTAAAAGGCATATGGCAGTTAGATTAATTTGCTAGTTTTAAGAATTCTAGTCAAGCAACTTTTGCTTACCCCATTGGCAGATTTTTTTTGCTCAAAACAAGAAAATTTTGTCAGATTTAAGAATATTTAGCGTGTTTCAAGTATAGCTGTTTTTGCAGTGCAGCCATTGACCAAATTTAGGCTTACTGATACATTTGGGTGAAACCAACCATTCCAATGTAAGGAACAAACACCCACCGATATATAAATAAAGACCAGGGCAGTCACAGAGCTGCGAGTCTCAGAGCCCTCACTCTCAGTGCGAGTGCTCTGTGCTGCCCTTGTATACAAGTAAAACTGTGTTTCTCCTCTCTGATTCTCAACTGAAAAAGTGTTTAAGAATGCATCTCTTGACAGTCTCTTATATATAATACATTTATACATACAGTGTCAAAGGAACCTGTCTTTGAATGAAGATTTAAGGTGACAGGAAATATAAATAAATACTGAAGCTCAGTATTTGAAACAGAGTTCATTCACTGCTGTAATAACTAATAATGATTGAAATAATAACTTATTATATTTGCATCACCAAAGTGAGATGACTTTAGTCTCATGAACAACATTAGCTAATTGTTATTTACTAGCTAATCTTAAATGATTGTTCAGTACAGAAGTGAAGCCCAATAATCATGATTTCACAGTCCTGTGGTCTCAGCCTCAGATACTTATCAAATCAAAGCTCATGTAGAAACAAACAAACAAATGAACAAAAGATTTTCTCCTTTATTTCTGTCAAACAAAGCTGTATGAAACGTTTCCAGCAGTTAGTGTCATGGTTGCTAGGCAACCTGGGCAGCGCAACGGAGGCTAGACCGTCCCATTTCAGAAGCCTTGCACTTCCAGCCTTAGCAGTCTTTGAGTACGCGGCCCGTGTGGACCGTCAAGGCTGCGTACTTTAAGGCTGCAGACCCTGAATTGGGATACAGCCAACATGTCCTGAAGTTCTCCAGAGGCCTGGTAATGAACTAATCACGTGATTCAGGTGTGTTGACCCAGGGTGAGATCTAAAACTTTGGGAAGCGCATCTGTAACCGGAAGGTCGCCAGTTCGATCCCCGGGCTCTCTGTCCTGGTCGTTGTGTCCTTCACCTGCCACCTACTGGTGTTGGCCAGAGGGGCCGATGGCGCGATATGGCAGCCTCGCTTCTGTCAGTCTGCCCCAGGGCAGCTGTGGCTACAACCGTAGCTGCCTCCACCAGTGTGTGAATGCGCGAATGAATGAATAGTGGCATTGTAAAGCGCTTTGGGTGCCTTGAAAAGCACTATATAAATCCAATCCATTATTATTATTATTATTATTAAAACCTGCAGGGACACCGGCCCTTGTGGACGGGGTTTGGGGACCCCTGGTGTAGATGAATCCTTAATGTGACTGTTTCAATTAAAGAAATGTTTTTGTTTGATTTTTCTTTTTTATTCATTTCTTATTTATTACTTGGTTTTAAATATAGCTTTTTATACACTTTACAAGTCTGGCTCCTGTGCTCAGATATGTTCACCGGGTCCGTTCTATTATCTGCTTACATTTTTCTCTTTTCAGTCTGGACATTTTTGTTCCACACCAAGGAGTATGTATGGGAATCATAGATACTTGTCTAAACTCACATCTACACATTCAAAAACAAAACAAAAAAACTCCTACTCAGTCTCTATTACAAACACAATAAATAAAGTTGTTGGCTTAAAAAATATATAAAAATAAAAATTTTTTACATAAACAAAAACTAAAATATATTCCACAAATGCATCAAAAGCCAAAAACTGAAAACACAGAACAATGTCTACAGTCTTCCATATGTGAGGGACAGATATGTGGGATAATTACACATACACAAGAGTGGACCAAGTAAAGCGCTATACAAATACAGACCATTTACCATATATAAGAGTGAAATAACGTGACAGTATGAAAATGAAAACGTGCGGAGAAGACCGCTTTTTTCACATCTCTTTGTTTTTGCAGTGATTTATGAAAATAATAAAAGCATTGCGGTAGGTAATTTTCTATTTATACTTCCATGAAACACAAACACATTCGATGGATGTATGAGGACTGTACAGTGAGAACTTATCTAGAACAACTGTTAACAGATAAGATCACATTTTAGGGGTAAAGCTAGCACAGCTGGCTTAGAAAAAGGTAAAAGTTCAATTTTTTATGGTGGCTTCGCTTAATGTGCATTGTGCAATAAAAAAAATAATAATATTTAATTTTTTTTAGGCACTTTTAGCTTTTCAGCTGAAGCTTTATCACAACATACTTAATACATACAAGGAATAGAAAAAAAGCCACCAAACCTTTCCCCAAATATGCACACATGAACAGAGGCAATTAGTCCATTAGCCATAAAAACGTAACTTTTTTCTTTTGCAGTCGCACTAAATATAGTAGTCTGCACAGTGGAACACTTGAACACACAGAGACACACACATATATATGTTTACTGACTACATGCATAATCTGTGTCTTTGTGTTTAAAATTATTCTAAATATGACAAAAAACCAACTCGTTATTGTTCGTGTTAAAACAGATTTTCTGCAGTGCACTTCTTCTGGTAAGACTTTGGTCACTTAAAACCAGCACAGCAGTAAAACATTTTGCATGAGGCGGACAGAAAACAATCTTGATGTGCGACTGCAGAGCAGTTACATGAACAGGCATGCTGCGGCTTGTTTGGTCCCACTCTTCTTCACATTGGAAGCTTATCCACCTTTGGGCGCAGAGGCCTTCACAGACCACCTTTACTTCACCTGGACTGTGTAAGTCCAGATCTGTGTAAGGCAGATCCTCGTATCCAGATTTATCCAGATTCTCAGCAGCTCAGAACTTCTAATGGTGTGTTCTATTTGGGCAAGGGCTTTAAATTATGGTGTTTTCAGGTGAATTTATGATGATGGAACTCTCGGGCGTCTGTATGACAAAGAGAAAGAGAAAAGCACTTAGTCAAGTGTGTGCTTGACTGGCGAAACGCATGGCTGATAATTTTTAATGGAGGTTTCTGTGGCAGAGTGACTGTAGTCAGCTCTTATCAGTCCCAAAGATCTGACTGAGTAGTCCATATCTTTGGGTAAGCTTTCAAATGGAGCATCCTGGGCTGTGTATTTGAACTGTGATCTTTTCCCAAAACCTGAGTAGTTTTCTTGCTTAGACCTCCATGTATCAGACAATACAATAGAGATAGAGGTAGTCAGTAAGTGAAAGTACATTTAAAATAAAAAGTCCAAAAGACATGCTTCAAACTAAATGACTGCGTTGAAAGTCTTTTTCACACCGTGATTTCTTTGGACTGTTATAAAAGCGTACATCTTTTATAACTTTATGAAAACAAGTATTTGGTGCACAAGTTTGAATTTATTTTGGACTTTCTCTAATCCGCACTGTGTCAGAATTATACATGCGTGCTCCAATATATAGATCAGCCACCCTCATTAATATTAATGTAAATGTCCTTTAGCCACATCAACCAAGTGCTTTTCATAGCCAAGAACGGTCTTATGGCTGGATATCTGAACCCTCTCCTTGACCAAACTGGTAGAGTCATTCGTGTCAAATTCTGTAGAATTTTAGCTTTAAATATCACACATACTTTACATACTACATACTGACATTTTCAGTGGCCTTTCTTGCCATCAAAATAAACCTGGATCTGTAATTTGGGACATTTAAAAAAATGTCTGCGTGCTTGCTAGTTGAAAATATGTAAAAGAAAGATATTTAAACAGACACTAGTAAAAAATAATAGTAAAAGTCAGCTTGTGATCATCTCTGATCAACAGCCTTATTAAATGCAGAGTAGTTTGGGCCCATTAGCAGGATTCATCATGTCATCACTTAAAGACCAGTTACAATAGAAACAGAGGTGAGAGTCAAGTTACAAAAAAATAAAAAGCCAGTTAAAATGAATGTGAAGTCCAAAAGACACGCATCAAACAAAATATCCGTGTTGTGTCATGTGGCCTAAATCTTTTTTCACGTCGTTGGCAAAGATGTTGTGGAAATTTGGGGACTCCTGCAGAAACCCATATTTGAACAGACTCAATAGAAAGACTTGCAAAAGTCAGCTGGTGATAATTTCTGAATGGTGTATTGCTGAATTTCACAATAATGCAAAATAAAACAGGTAGATTATTTTTCAACATGAAATTGTTAGTCACAAAAAATAAGAAAATGCTACTTTTGTCTAACGTTTTTTTAATCAGCTCCTCACAAAGGAAACTTAACCCAGTGATCTGTGCGTTTCTTCCCAGCTGAGAGAAGTCCAGTATCGAGCACATAAGCAGACACAGTTTTGTTTTGTTTTGTTTTTTTACCTACAGTTGTTGGAAAAATAGATTTTTGTAGTTACAGCTGGACCTCTGCTGACAAAAAAAAAAAAAAAAAAAAGCACACTTAGTGGGAACAAATATCAAATCAGTCAAGGCTGTGTTTCCATTCGGGTCTTGTCTGGTCTCATCAGTCAAGGAAACCACATGTTTGAAACATTAAGTCTTTTACAGGCACCGTTTATGAAAGTAGTAGTACAGTAAAAATTACCGTTAATAAAATGGGACCCTCTTCAACATCCCTGGGAAATGTGTTTTGCTAAAAAGAGAAGAAAATAATACTGTTAAAGCAAAAACACGCAGACCAGGGTTTAACACAAAGTTGACTCTCTACCAATGTTAAGAAACAGATAAATCACTTCTGTTGTTCTTATTAATGAAATGTAATATCTAAGTAAGACTATCAAATAACTGCAAGTTTAGTTGTATCCTAATCCTCTGTGCTTCAGTTACAGTGAGTTAGCATCCACATTCTACAAAAATACCTGCATCTCTGTCATTCTTACTTCTTCCCTCAAGTTTGGAATCTGAAGCAGAAATGAAACAGAAGCCATGGTCAACCTTCATTTCCGCATCAATGTGACAAATTTGTGCTATTACATAAAAGGTTTAACACTCTGTCATACTCATGTTCTCACAGAAACTGATTCAAATCAAAAATCTACGTGTAAAACTCTCAAGTTCCCTCGCTTGCGTGTGACTTTCAACTTGCAAGTACAAATTCGTTTAAGTCGATTGGTCTTTGGATTGTTAAATTTGTGGTTGCCATGACAATCAGAAATCAGATGAGTTTGGCTTACTCAGCTTTACTGAGCTTCAGGTCCTGGAAGGGTGATACAGTTTGAAGCTGGAGGATCTCTATATTAATATCCCATGAGGCTCATACAAGCTAGGTCCCTTAACTTTCGGTAGCTGTTGGAAAGATAAAGTTGTGCTATACCAGTCAGAAATACCATTATTACTTTAGTATTACGTTAACACAAAGTCAGGGCTCACCCGGGACCTTTGCTGTGAGTCACACGGTGCAGCATAAAGGCCCTTTTACAACAGATACGGCATGCGCTGCACTCATCGCTAACTAAGAGTGAAGGATCCAACATTTGTTGCGCTGGCCGCTGTCGTTTTTTTGCAGCAGCTCTTCGTGTACTAGATGCGCCTGCTCCTTGTCGTTTCAAAACATGTACCTCTCTTACTTTATATCCTCTACAAGAATTTGTGTTGTATTATGTTGAAATGTTCAATAAAACACGTATCGCTCATTCATAATGAAGAAAGCTTTGTAACTGTCCCGACTAGTGAGGAGTCTGTTGTTTCCACAGCACTGCTCTCCCCCTGAAGTGAGCAGTTGAAAAGGCTCTGGGTCTGTATAAACACATAAACCTGTGACTCAAAAAATTTACCGAACTCAGACACGCACAAAATGTTTTCATTCGTGGTGATGAAGGAAAACACTGGCACATGAAAGGGCATTTACCCTTCAAGGGCCTGAGGCTAAGTAAAGCCCACCCATCTGTTATCTGATTGGATTGTTAAATTTGTTACATGACATTGACCGATCTGCTGAAAGGAACCGGGTCAAACTTCATAACTGCAAGTTGAAAGTCACACACAGCCTTGAGAGCAGAGTTTTACACATAGTTTTTTGCTTTGTATCTGTAGCCAGACCTCAACAAAAATATTTGTAACTTGTGTAAATAGTTTTTACAAACTCATAAATTCTCATCTATCACAAACATAAAATTTTCAGATATTTTGGTTTACAAAGTACTCAGTCCACAACTACACATTGTGATTTACAAGTACAAAATATTTATGACCACAATGTGAGCCCATATATGTCTGGGTACATGCTGCTACGCCATTCTTTAAGCCACATGTATCACACACACGGCCCAGGGCCCAGAATCAGTCTGGCAAAGACTCTAACCGGAGTCTTCAATCATTTTGTTTTTCAGTGGGGTTTTTTTGTTTTTTGTTTTTTTAAACAGGAAATGTTGGTAAATTTATGGAATTACCCTCTTTTATCTGGAATTTTACACATTTATTTATTTTTATCAGCATTTGCTGTCCTGCTTTATTGTATTAAATTAAATGTGTAGTTGAACATCCTTACATCCCTGCATTAAGCAACATTCACATCTGAGCTGCCACTCACCTGCTGAATCTGGTTACGCATGTACAGATAAATTGCCATGGGGACAATGATGTTCGTCATGATAAGAACTCCTATTAAAATCTTTTGGATGTCACTTCCTGTTTGAGAAGAAGTTGAACATGTATTAATTTTCAAAGTAACACTCCCTTGATAACACATATTTATGCATGAATAAAGTTTTTAAAGTGCATGAACTATTAATTTTTGTCTTGTTTTCTATAGTGTGGCCAATCTGTAAGATTCACACATTTAATAAATATCGTACATGCTATATGGTTGTTTTAAAACAATTATGTTGAATTCTGTATTTGTTTTATCAGTTTTTGGAACCTGAAAAAGAAAATGAGGACTTGGGCTCTTTTGGAATGTCGGTACTACAACAAACTTGTCAATATACATTTTACTGAAGCAAAGAATAAATAAATAAACAAAAAACACAAGCTTACCCGTTTCTTTTTCTGAACCTATGAAAAAACAGGAAAGACTGTATGAGAACATCTGCAAACTAAACGTGTGTCGAGAGTATTGCGGTTTGTTTCTTTCAGTACATAGCTTGTTATAGAATGTTAATTATAATGCCAGTGCAATCTTGTTAATATATATAATTGTATCAACCCAAATAAACACTAAAATATTAATAAACAATAAAAATGAACTAAAACTATACAAGTGGACTTGGAGAAGGCATTCGACCGTGTCCCTCGGGGTATCCTGTGGGAGGTGTTGCGGGAGTATGGGGTGTCTGGCCCATTGCTACGGGCCATTCGATCCCTATACAACCGTTGCAAGAGCTTGGTTCGCATTGCTGGCAATAAGTCGGACTCGTTCCCGGTGGGTGATGGGCTCCGCCAGGGCTGCCCTTTGTCTCCGGTTCTGTTCATAATTTTTATGGACAGGATTTTTAGGCGCAGCCAAGTGGCGGAGGGCTTTCGCTTTGGTGGCCTCAGAATCTCATCTCTGATTTTTGCAGATGATGTGGTTCTGTTGGCTTCATCGGGTGAGGGCCTCCAGCTCGCACTGGAGCGGTTCGCAGCCGAGTGTGAAGCAGCGGGAATGAGGATCAGCACCTCCAAATCTGAGGCCATGGTTCTCAGCCGGAAAAGGGTGGAGTGCCCACTCCGGGTCGGGGATGAGTTCCTGCCCCAAGTGGAGGAGTTCAAGTATCTCGGGGTCTTGTTCGCAAGTGATGGGAGAAGGGAGCCGGAGATCGACAGACGGATTGGGGCTGCAGCTGCAGTAATGCAGACGCTGCACCGGTCCGTCGTGGTGAAGAGGGAGCTGAGTGTAAAAGCTAAGCTCTCAATTTACCGGTCGATCTACGTCCCTACCCTCACCTATGGCCAAGAGCTGTGGGTAGTGACCGAAAGAACGAGATCGCGGATACAAGCGGCAGAAATGAGCTTCCTCCGAAGGGTGGCTGGCCTCTCCCTTAGAGATAGGGTGAGAAATTTGGCCATCCGGGAGGGGCTCAGAGTAGAGCAGCTGCTGCTCCTGCACATCGAAAGGAGCCAGCTGAGGTGGTTCGGGCATCTGACAAGGATGCCCCCTGGGCGCCTCCTGGTGAGGTGTTCCAGGCATGTCCCACCGGGAGGAGGCCCCGGGGCAGACCCAGGACACGCTGGAGAGATTATATCTCTCGGCTGGCCTGGGAACGCCTTGGTGTTCCCCCGGATAAGCTGGAGGAGGTGGCTGGGGAGAGGGAGGTCTGGGCCTCTTTGCTTAGGCTGCTGCCCCCGCGACCCGGCCCCGGACAAAGCGGATGAAGATGGATGGATGGATAAAACTATACAAGTACAACTGCAAATTAAAGTAACTCTTAATTTCAGTATCAAAAGTATATTCAAAAAACTTACAAATTCCTCCCTGTGAACCTATGGGAGAAAGGAAAGACTATGAGTACAATCGCAAGGAACAGTTTTTAAATCAGAGTACAGCATCAAGTTAGTTAAACTGATCTGTTCAGCTGTAAGTACCAGAGGGGGGATGTGGATCAGTTTCATCTGCTTTAGTGTTAAAGAAATTGACGACTGGTGCACTACAAGGGCAGCAATGAGAGATAATGGTTTCACATGTGGGGGACACTTTTCCCTTCTCATCTTTTCTTACTGTTTGTTCACTAGTTTTGCATTTGGCTGCTGGTAGCATGAGGCGATATGGATACAGAGGTTGCACAGGCAGTTCATCTCATCCAGGATACGTGTTATTGTCAGAAGGTTTGCTGTGTCCCAGCACAATCTCAAGAGCATGGAGGAGAATCCGGGAGATAGGTTTTTACTCTAGAAGAGCTGGACAGGGACAGAGAAGATCCTTAACTCATCAGCAGGGCAGGTATCGGCTTCTTTGTGCCAGGAAGAACAAGATGAGCACTGCCAGAGCTACAAAATGACCTCCAGCAGGTCACTGGTGTGAATGTCTCTGACCACAAAATCAGGAACAGACTTCATGAGGGTGGCTTGAAGTTCTCTAGTGGGCGCTGTGCTCACTGGCCGACACTCCGGAGACTAATCATCATATCCTCCTATAAGATCTCACATCATTAGATGTTTCCAGGTCCAAACTTCTCTTCAGCTGCCAAACTCAAACAAATACTGCGGGCTTCACTGAGAGTTAAAATCTGTCTAAATTATTTCATCTTCAATATAATGATCAGTGTGGCTGCTCTACTAGATGAAACAATAAAGCTTAACATCCAGGCATCCCTTAAAAACAGGATTTATGAAATTTATGAAATATGAAATTTAACAGAGTTAGAAGTTAGCAGGGAGTTAGGGTTAGGGTAGATGGTTAGTTTCCATCTAAAGATGATACACCAGGTTCTTACTGAGGGATTTTTGAAAAATTAAAATGTACAGCTCTGCTGTCGCTTCAGACATATATAAAGACAGTAAAATAAACAGCAGTAAAGTTTGTAGGGTTACTGAAGTTAGCTCTGTAGCCAGCCACCGTTATATGCCAGCAAGCCTATGGATAGCATAATATAAACACATTATCACAGTAATGCTGGAGGATGAACAATCCCCCCCCCAATAAAAGTGAAAAAAACAATACAAAACATCGGGTCCCTGATCCCAATCACATAACAGAAAAAGGATGAAAGACGACCAAACTTCAGCCAGGAGAATACCTGATATAATCTATCCACAATACGAGGTTAGTCATTAATATACTGCTGCATGGTTTTGGATATAATATAATTCCTGATCCTCAGCTGCCGTTAAGGTTTCAAAAACGGAGCTTTAAAACATGCTGCAGATGAATAGTTGTAATAAAACCTCAGAGGCCAACAGTGATTACTGACTATTTTTCAAGGCCTGTTAAAAAGAAAATAGTCTTGTTGAACACTGTGTAGTTTGCACCCAGAACCTGGACCAGGACTTGAACACAAAAGCGAATCTAAGTCCCTACCCTCACCTACAGTCATGAGCTTTGGATTGTGACTGGAAGATCGAGACTCCGAATACAAGCAGTGGTAATGAGCTTGCTCCAAAGGTGGCTGGCCTATCAGATTAGACTCTCTACTCGTCCATGTGGAGAGTTTTTCAGAATCATTGTTAAACTTAAGTTATTTATTTGAACTAAAACTATTACAATATATTTTCCATGACACATCAAATAAAGTTCTATTAACGTAACTTACGTGAATTCACCAGGAATGATGCTGCTGTTGTACTTGTTGTTGACGATGTCGTTGATGGTGCTGTTGTTTTTGTTGTTGATGCTGTGCTTGGGTTTTTTGTTGTTACTTCAATGGTTGGTGTTGCTTCGATGGCTGGTGCTGTTGATGATGTTGCGTCGATGGCTGGTCCTGTTGGTGGTGTTGCTTTAGTGGTTGGTGTTGTTGGCAGTGGTGTTGATGGTGTTGCTTCAATGGTTGGTGCTGTTGATGGTGTTGCTTCAATGGTTGGTGCTGTTGATGGTGTTGCTTCAATGGCTGGTGCTGTTGATGGTGTTGCTTCAATGGCTGGTGCTGTTGATGGTGTTGCTTCAATGGTTGGTGTTGTCGGTGAAGGTTTTGGTGGTGCTGTTGGTGGAGGTGGATTGAGTAAACACAAGAGTTTGTAGCTATTTTTTTTCATGTGTTAATTATGTTAGCGGTCATAAAATTACATTTTTGGGGAAATTCTAGACTGTTTCCAAATTAATTATTTAAAATTCAATATCACTACTTATATTTAGTTTGAATAGAAGGGTAATTTAAAAGGCTGGTGTAAGTACTACAGAAACTGCTGATCTCCTGGGATTTGCATCTATACAGTGGGGCAAAAAAGTATTTAGTCAGCCACCGATTGTGCAAGTTCCCCCACTTAAAATGATGACAGAGGTCAGTAATTTGCACCAGAGGTACACTTCAACTGTGAGAGACAGAATGTGAAAAAAAATCCATGAATCCACATGGTAGGATTTGTAAAGCATTTATTCGTAAATTAGGGTGGAAAATAAGTATTTGGTCACCTCAAACAAGGAAAATCTCTGGCTCTCACAGACCTGTAACGTCTTCTGTAAGAAGCTTTTCTGTCCCCCACTCGTTACCTGTATGAATGGCACCTGTTTGAACTCATCATCTGTATAAAAGACACCTGTCCACAGCCTCAAACAGTCAGACTCCAAACTCCGCCATGGCCAAGACCAAAGAGCTTTCGAAGGACACCAGGAAAAGTATTGTAGACCTGCACCAGACTGGGAAGAGTGAATCTACAATAGGCAAGCAGCTTGGTGTGAAAAAATCAACTGTGGGAGCAATCATCAGAAAATGGAAGACATACAAGACCACTGATAATCTCCCACGATCTGGGGCTCCACGCAAGATCTCATCCCGTGGGGTCAAAATGATCATGAGAACGGTGAGCAAAGATCCCAGAACCACACGGGGGGACCTGGTGAATGACCTGCAGAGAGCTGGGACCAAAGTAACAAAGGTCACCATCAGTAACACACTACAACGGCAGGGAATCAAATCCCGCAGTGCCAGACGTGTTCCGCTGCTGAAGCCAGTGCATGTCCAGGCCCGTCTGAAGTTTGCCAGAGAGCACATGGATGATACAGCAGAGGATTGGGAGAATGTCATGTGGTCAGATGAAACCAAAGTAGAACTTTTTGGTATAAACTCAACTCGTCGTGTTTGGAGGAAGAAGAATACTGAGTTGCATCCCAAGAACACCATACCTACTGTGAAGCATGGGGGTGGAAACATCATGCTATGGGGCTGTTTTTCTGCCAAGGGGACAGGACGACTGATCCGTGTTAAGGACAGAATGAATGGGGCCATGTATCGTGAGATTTTGAGCCAAAACCTCCTTCCATCAGTGAGAACTTTGAAGATGAAACGAGGCTGGGTCTTCCAACATGACAATGATCCAAAACACACCGCCCGGGCAACAAAGGAGTGGCTCCGTAAGAAGCATTTGAAAGTCCTGGAGTGGCCTAGCCAGTCTCCAGACCTCAACCCCATAGAAAATCTGTGGCGGGAGTTGAAAGTCCGTGTTGCTCGGCGACAGCCCCAAAACATCACTGCTCTCGAGAAGATCTGCATGGAGGAATGGGCCAAAATACCAGCTACTGTGTGTGCAAACCTGGTAAAGACCTATAGTAAACGTTTGACCTCTGTTATTGCCAACAAAGGTTATGTTACAAAGTATTGATTTTTGTTATTGACCAAATACTTATTTTCCACCCTGATTTACGAATAAATTCTTTACAAATCCTACCATGTGGATTCATGGATTTTTCTTTCACATTCTGTCTCTCACAGTTGAAGTGTACCTCTGGTGCAAATTACTGACCTCTGTCATCATTTTAGGTGGGGGAACTTGCACAATCGGTGGCTGACTAAATACTTTTTTGCCCCACTGTAACTGTCTGTAGGGATCACAGAGAGGACCCTTCTGTGAAGGGTTGCACACTGACCAGTACATTTAAAACATGACACTGTTTTACAAATGACTGTTGTCCACTCGAAGAGACCAGATCCTTAAAAAACTAGAACTTTCTCTTACAAAATGCTTATTTAGCTATTTGACAACAGTTTGGTGTTCTCTAGCACAAAACAAAGAAAAACTTACTAACAAAACTTGAATTGTCATTGAAATGTTAATCTGAACAGATAATACTTAGTAAATATGATCAAATATGTATTTTGTCCATGTGTGAAACTCAAAGCTTCTTTAAAGTCAAAATATTTTTTACGAAAAAAAAAAACCCTTGGAGGTTTCTTTAAACATTTTTCTTGAATGGATGGAGTCTGACTGCGTTTAATCTCATTTTTGGGCAAAGAATAGAAAGACAACAGCAGCTGTCAAGCACTGAAAAAAAGGTGAAATATTCGTCTTTTGCAATAAAATGTCAGTGTCTGGTCTGCGCTTCCACAGGCCCCACTGGTTTTGAAACTTATTCCCGTTAACGAAGTAAGGAAGCAAGACGAACAGTTCAACCGGTTTTTCACATGCTAGTAAGGGAAGGATCTCAGAGCAGCCCTTCTGCCCTCAGTCTCAGACCACTTCAAAGAACCATCACCCCATAGCAGCCTTTTATTCTGTTACACACAGTTTACACAAACACCCATTGTAAATCCCCCCATGGTCACAAAAGGTTAAAAAAACTGTGTGTGTGTGTGTGTGGGGGGGGAGTCAGAAACAAGAGAATGCCTTTAATCATATAGTTCGAACTAAGACTTACAAATTTAAGTCTTACAAATTTAAGTGACACAATGACAACATTTAACAATTTTAACCTGACAGTCAGTAGCACTGTACGTGTATGTGTGTCCTCTTTTAGATGTGTTTTAGTTTTTCTGCTTTTAATGACTAATCTTGGTCGAATTTAACGTTTATGGCCATATGAGGGTCATTTGGGCGTTTTTTGTTTTTGTAAAGTAAATTGTCCTGACTTCTTTGAGAAAACATCTCTCTGTATATCTGTATATCTTCTGTCCTGTACCTTTAAAGTGATATTTACTTGAAAAGCTGCACTAAGAGCAGCAGTCTGTCCACAACGTGGAAGTCAGAGAGAATGCATGAAGTAGCAAAAAAATGTTGAGTGAAAGCCTGATTCAAGAAAGTGGGGAAATAAATAAGATGCAAAAGTTATTACACAAAAAGAGCTGAAGTATATTTTAAGATGGGAAACAGCAGTAGTGCGGCAGTCGGCGTGATTTATAAGATCTAACATCAGCTAGAAGCAAAACACAAACATGTACTGTTTCAGCATTAATATCCAGTCCAAGCCAACTTTATTTCTGGAGCACTTTAAAATCATCTTTGACCAAAGTGCTTTCCAGTAAAAAACAATGAGAAAAGTAAAACTGTGACAAAACTATAAATAAAATGTGTTTCCTACCTGGGGTGGCAGAATCTTCCCCACAGACTTTTTCTAAACAAAAAAAGAAAAAAAGAAAGAAAAATACAAGCAACAAGTTGTGAATTTTAAAATCAGCACACCGAAACAAAACAAGAGGAAATGTGGATGTAGGTCTCAGTACCTGTACACACATCCACACTGACAGACACAATAGCAGCATGGATACACATCACACACACCCACACACAAAGTCTTGATGTTTTGAATGTCTCTGTTCATGGTGTGTGTGTGTGTGTGTGTGTGTGTGTGTGTGTGTGTGTGTGTGTGTGTGTGTGTGTGTGTGTGTGTGTGTGTACTTACTGTACACTTCACAGACTTCAGGTGGTTTTGTTTTATCTTTGGTGAAAAGAAGAAAAATGTTAGCAGTAAGAACCAGAAGTTCATTTTAGGTTTATTGTAGGAGATCCACATTTTACGGTTTGAGGAAGACCTGCTCCTTTTCTTCCTCTGAATTTCTAAAACGTCTAAGCTCGTTACAACAGTCGGTGTCACAGTGTTGCTTCTCACAAAGACATTCAAGCAGCAAGTCTTTAAACTAACCACAGCTGAATGTTAGACAAGTATCAAAATGAGGCGATACCTCGTAGACCCTTGGCTATATTTGTCAAGCACATGAAGTGGTAGAAAGGGACACTGATGTTCTCATCCGCCTCGTTACATGGCGGTTTATAGTCCTGCAGGACAAACAACATGTTTATCAGATATAATCCTTGTTTAACCTGAGCAGGAAAAAACAAACAAAACTTGAAGAAGAAGAGATTTTTTTCCTTGCCATGTTATTCTCGTCCTTAAAACAGTCCCGTAGAAAGCAGGTATTTTCTGTTTTGCTGTTATCACAGTCTTCAGCTTCCGTTAAACTACATACAATGATGTCCTGCAATGAAAGAAGGGCACATTTATCATTAACCAAATATAAGTCACTCCAACATAAACTTAAATACATTTGGACATTTTCTAGTTTTTAAACAATGTTTCACAAAGTTACCTCAGACTTGTTCATTATTTTGACGGTAATATTCTCTGGCAGCTCACTTGATGCGTTTGCCTTCCAAGTACAGAGAGATGGTAAAGAAGCAAAAGACATCATTAGTTATATATTTGTTTATTATTAGTGAGTGATCATCACAACTAAAACTGCAACATGTCCAAAGAGAGTTAAATATACAAACACACAAATCTGCTGGGGTTAGAGGCTCCCAGAGGGCTGCAGGTTGTCAAAAGCCTGATCCCAAAACCCAAATCTGATTTATATCATCCTCATATTACCTTTTATCTTAGCAGCCTTGTCATCCAGCATTAGAGATTAGCCTATTAAGAAATTATAATAATTAGGGAAAAGAACATGTTTTTTTCTTACCAATCCTTTTTTTGTGAAGTGGTCCATACAACCTGCTTCTGATGGCTCGATCGGGATTACCTGGTAGACAAAAGGTTGTTTAATTAGACGGACAGAATTACCACCATATAATGAACATAACTTGTATAACACTATATAAACTAAACTAATGCAGATGTAAATTTAAGGAGGACAGGCTACCAAAAAAATTACTAATGAGTACTTTAGGTCTCATAGCTTTTTAATAAAACCAGAAGTTACAGTAATCAACAAAACATTAAAACTAAAAACATTCGCGCGCCTCTTGAAACTATTAAGTTCGGATCACCAAGAGCACATTTTACAGCACTTATATAAAAGCAAATAGAGTAAAACTGCAAAGAGAACACTCACACTTAAAAGCAACAGGCAGAGAAAACAGCCGTGTGACGTCATGATGCCCTCTGTGATCTTTGCAAACTACAGTGAAACAAAAAAAAGCAGGAGAAAGGTATATTATGGACACAGACACACAGAAGATTTAAACAGATTTAAATAATAAACAATAATAAAACAAAACCGATAAAACTTGTTTCCGTGGCCAGTGCTTTGCAAAAGCAAAGTGTTCACATTTTAAACATCATCTTGATGACATGTTAAGGCTTCAGGGTTAGATCAGTGTTGTAACGACTTCCATTTAGAAAGTCGTTGAGAGAAGAAGTAGGATTTGATGTGCCATACGAAGTCCATTATGAAAACTAGTTGTCTTTGAGGATGCTGATTTCATGAAAGTAAAATGTCAGCAGTTAATAGACAAAAGCTCAGATGACACAATCAACAGGCAGGTCAACAATATCTGAGGCCTTCTCCCTCTCCCACCATCCCATCGCAGGGAGGATCTCCGCTGGTCTTGGACATGATAAATATTGTTTATTAAAAGAAGCTAAAGCTTAGGGCTTTGACCAAGTAGCTATAACACTGATATGATCTCTAAATATGTCCCATGATGTTATCAACACAGCTTTTCTCCAAACTGCGTTCTCTTTTTGTGAACAGCAAGTGACTCTGAGTGCTCTGCAAGAGCATCTTTTAAGTATACACTGTGAAAGCTATGCACTGCAGGCATTTCTTGTTTTAGCACAGACAGCTGACTGTCACACTCTGAGAATGGCTTAAAGGTAAGTGTAGTCAGCTCCACAAATCATGAAAAATAGCATTTACATAAATGTACATGAAGGGCAGAGAAACAATCAGTTCATGTGTATCATTTCACGTTGTATTGGGCTGTAGTATAGGCTGAAACCTGCGGTTAACATCCAAAACTAAATCATATAATCATTTAATCATATAAGCATAAAACACATGTTCAATCTGAATTTATCCAAGGACGAGTGATCAGGAAGGCTGGACAGATGTGAGTATGGATGGTGTACCAGGAAGAGGGGATAAGGCAAAAGAAGGAGTCCAAGTTGAACCGAGGCAAGCAGAAGAAGAAGAAACAGGCGTACAATCCTGAGCCAAAGAGACGATACAGCCAGGACGAGAGAGGGGAGGAGACACTTCCCTGAGATTATTCCCAGTGGTACCCATATTAAAATGTCAGAAGTTCAATAAAAGTTGGAAAAGAAAATGCTGTGTCATGTAAAAATGATAATAATCTTTTGAATGAGTATTGAGCAATGTCGCTTTAAAAATGCAATGAACTAACTTGTGCTTATCAGATTTAATTTAGCAAAGAGGATTTTTTTCCAGTGCACTGTTGAACTTCATGCAATTTTTTTTGTATGTGCATTTAGACAAATTCAGCACAGCTGCATGAGCGGCGTTCACACAGAATGAATATTACCTGAGTAAAGACTTTTTTTGTGTTTTCTTCTTTGATGCCTTCAAAGTTATTTTGACTTGATTTGTGGGATAGACTCCTGAAAACCAGCCAATTCATTTATGTCCTCTGTAATGGGTGTTTGTTTTTGGTCTACATCTTTTGACTTATCTGTGCTACACTAAGTCCTGATGTAATAAGGGGCGTAAGGGGCGATCGTGGCTCAAGAGTTGGGAGTTCGCCTTGTAATCGGAAGGTTGCCGGTTCGAGCCCCGGCTTGGACAGTCTCGGTCGTTGTGTCCTTGGGCAAGACACTTCACCCGTTGCCTACTGGTGGTGGTCAGAGGGCCCGGTGGCGCCAGTGTCCGGCAGCCTCGCCTCTGTCAGTGCGCCCCAGGGTGGCTGTGGCTACATTGTAGCTTGCCATCACCAGTGTGTGAATGGGTGGATGACTGAATGTGTAAAGCGCTTTGGGGTCCTTAGGGACTAGAAAAGCGCTATACAAATACAGGCCATTTACCATTTAATTGTCACGGTTCTGGGCCTGTTGGACCCAGTATTTTGAGTTTATTATGTTTTGGTTTAATTTTGCATCATGGATTGTTTTCTTGTTCAGTACCACATAAATATAGTACACGCCCAGGAAAATGTAGCCACATGTGCAAAAATATCTGAGACTGCAGAGGTGAAGCAGGAAATAAACGTGAGAGACTTTATCTCCAACTCCAGAAGTGGATCAATGAATTCACCATGCACTTGGACAGTAGGCTGTGAGTATGCAGTGTCCTCAAAGCATATTCCACATGTCTTTTGCAATTTTCCAGCAGGCCCATGATTTAAAACTAACTACATAAACTGATAAGTGACCTCTTTGTTTTTAAAGTGACATGAAGGAACTTCTAAAAGTCTGGCCAACTTAATATTCACTCAGCGTCCTCATCAGTCCCACTGCTTACCATGACTACTGAAGAAGCACCTTTTGGTAATATGTGTTTTTAAGTTTTTCATTATATGTTATTAACTTATAGTTGAAGTATATCTGTACACAAAGGCTAAAGTTTACAGAAAATATAGACGATATAAAGGGTTGCACAACAGTTAAGGTAAACAAACACAATATATAAATATTAACACAATCTCAGAAATGTTAGTCTTGACCTCTTCAGAAAATATAGTTTTCACTCGGTCATATAAAGAATCAGTCAGTTTAAAGGTCAGTAAATCTGAGCAGAGACTAATACAATACATGAGTTTCCTGGGGGTGTCAAGACACAGAAAATTATCATTGTTTTGATGATCTGCCGACAGATATTGTGCAGAAGTGAAAACAGTGGCGTCTCATGGCACTAGAGATGGACTGATCCGATATTAGCTATTGGTATCTGTCCAATACTGACCTAAATTACTGGATCAGATATCACAGAGAAATAAAAAATGTAAACTGATCCATTAAATTTCACAAAAGCACCTCACAAAACCTCACAAAACAAAAAGCTCATGACCATAGCACGTCAGAGCAGGATGCCTTGTGGTGTAATCTATATTGGTGAATATCATGCGCCACTAGGGGGCAGTACTTACCCTTCTAGACAGGAGGTGATGCTATGTCATGAACATAGAGTGAGCTGGAATAAAGATGGTGGGATTCCACGTTATCGCCTAAATGAGGAGTTTTATTAAAAGAGCCCAACGCAACATGGTGTCAGAAGTGCACTCGCTCTAAGCGGCGAAGAGAGACAGTGGAAAAAAATAACCGTCAGCTTGGCGAACGGCTAGTGACGAAAATGACGGAGCAAGCAGCAGCATTACCGGCGACTCCTGGCCCGGTTACGGCAGCTCCACCAGCGGCTACTTTCACCATCAAGCCACCGGAACCGTTCGACTTCGCAAAGCCCCAAGAATGGGAGAAGTGGATCAGACGTTTCGAGCGTTTCAGAATGGCAAGTAATCTGAATGGTTCAACTGATGCTAACCAAGTGAACACATTAGTATACTGCATGGGAGACGAGGCTGACGACATGCTAAGGGGACTAGACCTAACAGACGGGCAGCGCCAGCAGTACGATGCGGTCAGAAACGCATTTGACAGACATTTTGTCCCCAGAAAGAATGTGATTTATGAAAGAGCAAAGTTTAATAAGCGAGTACAACAGCCAGCGGAAACAGTTGACTCCTTCATAACAGCTCTATATGCTCTCGCTGAAAACTGTGAATATGGTGAACTCCACGATGAACTTTTGAGGGATAGGCTCGTTGTGGGTCTTAAAGATTCATCACTGTCGGAGAGAATGCAGCTCAACAAAGATTTGACGCTAACCAAAGCTATCACAATGGCGAGACAATCTGAGGAAATAAAAAGACAGCAAACTGACCTCAGAGGCGAAAGCAGCACAGGCAAAACAGCCATGGACGCCGTGCATGTCAGAAAGTCACAGCCCAATAAATTCAGAAGCAGAGAGCAAAAGCAGTTCAAGCCACGAAAACCACAAATAACAAAACAAGAAAATAAAACGTGTTTTAAATGTGGAAAAACACAGATGCACCCAGCAGCACAGTGCCCAGCTAAAAATGCAGAATGCCACAACTGCGGGAAACGTGGACACTACGGGAGAGTTTGTAGGTCTACAGCTGTGCATGAGGTGGCAGACTGTGCAGATGGACTCTTCCTAGGTGAACTGGATTCAGGAGAAGACCCGTGGCTTGCTAACATCTGCGTGAGAGGCAAAAGCATGACCTTCAAATTAGACTCGGGGGCAGATGTCACAGCTATCTCAGAAGAGACATTCAAAGACATTAAGCAGCCAAATGAGCATCTGCAAAAAGCTGAAAAGCCACTGTATGGACCAGGAGGTGCAGCACTGACCGTGCTTGGGTCCACAAAGGAGGACATTTCCTACAGTGACAGGAGCACTGCAGAGACTATCTATGTAGTCAGAAATCTGCGTGCAGCTCTCTTAAGCAGGACAGCTTCTGTGAGACTGAAACTAATTGCCCGAATGGACAATGTTGACCTTGAGACAGTGAAGAAAGCGTACCCGAAGCTATGGGATGGGCTCGGGCTTGTTCAAAAACCGTACACGATTAAGCTGAAGCCCGACGCTAAACCTTATTCACTGAAAGTGCCCAGGCGTGTTCCGCTCCCACTACTGGGTAAAGTCAAAGCAGAGCTACAGAGGATGGAACAGTTGGGGGTGATCAGTCGTGTGGAGGGGCCCACAGACTGGTGTTGCGGCATGGTCGTAGCCCCTAAAAAGGACAAAGAGACAGTCCGCATCTGCGTGGACATGACACCTTTAAATGGGTCGGTGTGTCGTGAAAGATATATTCTTCCCTCTGTTGACCAAACACTAGGCATGCTCACAGGGGCGCAGTATTTCTCCAAGCTCGATGCTAACATGGGCTTTTGGCAAATACCGCTGTCCAAAGAATCTGCTCTCCTCACCACGTTTATTACGCCATTTGGGAGGTACCATTTCAACCGTCTGCCATTTGGTATTTCCAGTGCACCAGAGCATTTCCAAAACATGATGGTGACAGAAGTGACAGCCGGCCTCGCGGGAGTCGTATGCCACATGGACGACATCCTGGTCTGGGGATCTACGAGAGAGGAGCACGACATGAGACTCCACGCTGTCCTCGACCGTGCAGAGAAGGCAGG